TTATGAAATACAGTACACAGCTAACATTTCAAGCCAGCTCAGCATTCAGCCTGTCTTCTCTGTGAGGCCACAACACTTCATCAACATCACATCTGAGGTCTTGTCTTCCAAGACAGAGGGGGAAGAACCTTCTTGAACGCCACATCCACCCTCGGCATGCTTCCACAGTGATGTCCTCACAGGCAGCATCCAGAACCCCCAGTGGAGACACCTGGTCATAGGGCTGATGGTCATATACATGCCACCTCCTGTGGTAGAAAAATCCATGATTATGCGCATATAATGTAATTACCAGTAATTACCAATGAAATTCATAATGACACTGTTGATTTAACTACAATGATTACAAATGATTAATTTCTGATTTGGAATAGTTATTATACTAAACATGTAATGCAATAATGCAAGCTTGCTTCAGTAATAAGTTTTCACTTTTCAATAAGAAACGTTTTATAAGGAACTTACATGTGACGGTTTATTCTGCAGGAGGACCGGATAAAGGTGCGGACCTGATCCGAGAAGTTAAGCTGCTGCAGAAACCAATATTAGTAATTTCTGTACTGATGTCATAGGTCAAGGATAAGTGGACAATCGCAAAAGGGAATATAGGGGAAATAAGATGAAGAAAGTAACTGAAAACATAGGGTAGTGAAAACATAAGAACAATAAGCAGAAGTCGTTGGTGTCCACAGATATCCGACCCCTCCTTAAACAGTTTGTAAACTGTCACACTTTTTGCTATAAAAGATGTATGCACTAATGAAATTAGGCCTAACTTGCAATTGGTTGCACTACTTGCTGCAAATCTAACTCTCAATCACTCACAAGTTGCTAATAGGGTATAAAACTAGTAAGAATGAGGTGTCATTTTTAACACACAATGGAACACGGCCGGAGAGGATGTGGACGTAGGTGTGGAGGAAATGATGGGCAACGTCAGAGACAACCAAGAACAGTGGTCAGCCATGAAATTAGAGCCACCGTCATTGACCATGTCAGTTATTTCCAATCATTTTCACACTTGTCTCAATAGCATGTCCATTTTTTGATATGCACCTGAGCATATCAGTTAACTAGTGCAAAATGCACTAAAACCACCAAAACACTTCACACTTCACCCAAAAGTGACACATGCTGCCGAACCTATAGCACGCACACTCTCTCACAAGACGACTTTGTCACACAAAGTACAATGGATGAAAAAACAACTTGAAATGCTGCAAAATGCATATATATGATGTGTTGTTGTATCCTATATTTTCACACAATGTTTATTGCAAATTAAAAGAAAAATGTATGATATTTCTTACATTAAACACTGTAATACAAACAAATAATAGAAATAAATTCAGCTGCACAATACACTGGAAAATAAAAATACATTACAACCACCTACTTTAAGTACATTACATTCAATACAAAAAAAAAGCAAAAATCGCCAAATAGCAAAGTTTCACTGTATACAGTCAAGTATACTGTTGACCTGGCCTAATCCATTCGGTCCTTTGCACTTGACCATAATTTTTCATCTAGATCACACCGAATATTTTCTCTTGCAATTCACCGAGGAAAAAATCTCTTTGAGTGCCTTATCCAGCTGTGGATGTCCTTCACGTGGATGTCCATACACGCAGCAGCCATTGCATCTAAAAGCGACATCTGATCATGTGGCCGATGGTCATATACCTTCCATCCCCATGCAGAAAAAAATTCTTCAAAGGGGTTGAGGAATGGAATGGTGGTAAGAATAATGACATCATCCGGGGATGGGCAATAAACCATTCTGTGACTTGGCGAGAATGATGAAAGGGCACATTGTCCCACACAATCTCAAATACTGTTAAATTCTTCCTCTCCCTCCTCTGGGAGGTAAATGCTAAATCCTAGAGCAGTGGGTTATAGTAAAGACAAACATGTACCGATGCATCAGTTATTTTTCCCAGAGACTTTCCTCAAATCACACAACTACAGTAATATACACATCAATCAAATGCCTTCAGTCAGAATGCTCTAAATAGTGTATAGTACCTGTTGCCATCCATCCATCCATTACCTACCGCTTGTCCGGGGTTCGGGTCGCGGGGGTAGCAGCTTCAGGAGAGATACCCAGACCTCCCTCTCCCCAGCTACCTCTACCAGCTCCTCGGGGAGGACGCCGAGGCGTTTCCAGGCCAACCGAGAGATATAATCCCTCCAGCGTGTCCTGGGTCTGCCCGGGGCCTCCAACAGAACACCACTCGGGTTCAGATCAGGGAGGCCGTTCCTCCCAATCACCACCCTCCAGGTCACACTGTCATTGCCCACGTGAGCGTTTAAGTCCCCCAGCAAAACGATGGAAGTCCCTCGTGGTGCACTAACCAGCATACCACTAAGGGAATCCAAGAAGACCGGGTAATCTGAACCGTCATTCGGCGCATAAGCGCAGATGACAGTCAGAGACCTATCCCTATCCCTGACTCCACAATGCACCGAACCCCTGACATTCCCCTTGCGGGTGGTGGTCCCACCTGGGGACAGTCCCGCGTGCCTCTTTCGGGCCAAGGCCCGGCCACCAGGCACTCGCCAACGGGCCCCTCTCCAGGCCTGGCTCCAGGATGGGGCCCCGGTGACCCTAGTCCGGACGAGGGAAATGAGACCTTGCTAGAATACATTATCATAGGGTTCTTTTGGATTGCTCTTTGTCTGGCCCCTCCCCTGTGACCTTATTGCCTTGGGAGACCCTACCAGGGGCTATTGCCCCCGACAACATAGCCCCCAGGGTCACTGAGGCACGTAAACCCCTCCACCACGATAAGGTGGCAATCCAAGGAGGGGTAGTACCTGTTGCTTTGCCTGAAAATCCTGGCAGTTGATGTCACTGTGGATCTAGGCAGGTGGGGCTGAACTCTTAGACCCGCTTCCCTCAGGGACAGACCATGATTTCCAACATGGTCAAATACTGTGGCTCTGATTTCATCAGTAACCATGGATCTTCCTCTTCCTCTCCGTTCATGTCTTCTTGCTCTTCCTCTGCCTCTTGCTGCATCCATTTTTCACTAGCTAAAGAAAAATGGCAATGGAAAATGCCAATCCAAAGGTGGCCCCTTTTGTACATATGGCAAATTAGCACTAACCACACAAATTCCTAGATAGATGCTTAGCTGAAATTACAGGCAGGTATGTGTCTTCATTCAGATTTCCAGCTTCAAGCATTGTAAAGTGCTTGGTGGTGATCTAGGGGGATGGTGGTGTTCTAGTAGTTAGGGATCTGACTGGGCTCCAGAACACCGGAAGATTGTGAGTTCACTCCCAGGGGGTACCACCATTGTGACCCTGAGCAAGGCGCTTGACCCCAACTTACTACAGGAGGACTGTCTCTGTAGATACAGTAGATACAGCACTTCACTGCAAGTCGCTTTGGATAAAAGTGCCTGCTAAATGAATAAATGTAAATGTCTTACTGTAATATATGTGTTGCCATACCCACTGTTTTTGCACAGAATACATTGTGTTGCGATACAAAAAGGAAAGAGACACTCCATGGCCACTCCAAAACTGCAAATCCCCACTGCCAAGCAGTCTTTAAATCCAGGCTGACCCCTGCCTGTGCTCCGTGCTTCTTATGAGATGGTGGTGCAGGAGGTAATGCTACCGTTCGGCAACCGGAGGGTTGCAGGTTCGAGCCCCGGGTTCTCCTGACCCATCGACCCCAAATTGCTCCCGGTGAGCTGGTTGGCACCTTGCATGGCAGCCTCTGCCACCGGCGTGTGAATGTGTGTATGGATGGGTGAATGTGAGGCATACATTGTAAAGCGCTTTGGTGAAAAGCGCTATATAAATGCAGTCCATTTACCATTTATGGTCCAGGTTCAACATGATAAGAGGTTATGGAATCTTTATTAATTAACTGAGGACTCTCAACAGGATAAGCAGCTGGAATACAGACGGAAGGATAAACAGGGAAAAACCCAGGACAGGACACGAAACCATGGAAGGGCTCACTACACCATTCACACCTATGGGCTATTTGATAACTCCAATTCATCTCAGCATGTTTTTAGAATGTGGGTGGAAAAAAACATGGGGAGAACATGCAAAAAAAAAAAAAAGCACCGGAAACTAGTCACAATTAATTATAAAGGTTGTTAATCTACGGATTAATCTTTCCTGATGCCAGAAAGGCCCTGAGGTGTTTTCTGGTCTAAAGTGGAAACAATTGTTCAAAATTACTCTCTCAAAATTATTCTCTCCAGTGATTCATGTTTTCTGTGAAGTTTCTCTGCACGGAGCTGTGAAACCTCAGGGAGGTGCTGCATACCCCCCAGCTCTGCTTTGCAGGGCTCTCTTCGCCTTTTCTGCATGCCAGTCTTTACCGGCACCTCTGGCCACAAGGACCTGTGAAGCGACTGCTTCCGTACTGTGAAGTGATTAAATGTTCAGGTTACACAGAAAGTATGCAGGACAAACCCTACTGCGTCAGTTATGAGCATCCTTTGGGAGAACTTCTATATTTCTTTATTAAAGCACAGATCATCTGTGATTGTCTAGGACTGCACTTTGACACCCTCCAGTGTTCATAAGAAATATCTCACTTGTAGCACAAGGTTTGCCTATTCATGTTTAGAGGCACCTAAGGTTCTGTATGATGGTTTAATGAATGTCCCATTGTGACCATGCAAATCAGGTTCCGCTGATGTAATATCATAGTCGATGCCTGTTCATTTGAATTATGAGTTTTGATTGATTTACAGCAATGTCACTGATATAAATGAAGAGAAATGTCAAGCTGAGGCATGTAAATATTCAAAAGCGTTAAAAGATAGGTGCATCATCAATGATCATTAAGTTTATCTGCTAGCATCTTCAAATGGACAGCTTGGCTACATTTTTCAATTTGTTTCATTTTTAAACTACTTTGGGGCTGTTTGGATAAAAAAAAACTACGAAACGAAAAATTACAAAATATCTTCCATGTCACTGTTGCCCACTTCCTGTCAAGTGCATATAAAGCAACGCCTGCACTCTGTCTTTCTGTCAGTCGGTCGGTTTTTAACTTTCAGAACTCATCATGCTCCTGCATCTGTCTCTATTCTGTCTCTTTCTCCAGGAGCTTCTCTCTCTAACAGGTAGGGTCACCACCTTCCTTTCACATTATACGATATATCGTATGTAGCCAAAAAGGCAGCAGGAGAAATACAACTGGAGGGAAAAATCCTATTATATGATGGTTGAGGCTAATTCACCAAGCTGTGCTACCCAGTACCTGGATTCTGCTGTTTATGTTACGTAGGAGCGTCTGAGAGCGGCATCCTGGGAGGGGAGACAGCCAAACCTCACTCCCGGCCCTACATGGCCTCACTGCAGGTCCGTGGTGCTCACAAATGTGGGGGTTTCCTCATTCGGAAGGACTTCATCCTGACTGCAGCACACTGTACAAAAGAGTGAGTTCATCTGCGTTTCTTTTCTCATTTTGTAACCCTTCATCTGGGAGGATGGATGCAAGACGATTGTGACAGTTTATAACACTGTTCATAACTGTTGATATATGATTGCTTGGCCCCAACACTCACACGAGTGTGAAGCCTTGTGCAAGTGAGTTTTCTTGAAATATAAGTTTAACTTTAAATTTTGTATTTTTTTTTGAAAATGGCTAACTATAATCTGTCCTCGTCTTTATTCTGTAGCTTCAGATCACTCACTGTTGTGCTTGGAAATAACAACATTAAGAAAAAAAAGTGGCTCAGGCAGAAAAGTGGAATAAAAGTAAAATGGTGCTGCAGCCATCCAAATAATTCAAAAAATCAATATGACTTTGATATTGCGCTCTGCAAGGTATGACTTTTAATCAAGGAAAGCACACTTTGGTGACTTTTTCACATTCATTTGGAATCATTCATGTGTTACACCATATGCCTATATATAGATATACCATGTAATATTTGAATATTAAATAATGAAAATTAATTCCTATATATAGATATACCATGTAATATTTGAATATTAAATAATGAAAATTAATAACAATAATTAATAACAATTATCTATATTAATGTTCATGCAAAAGTTTCTATTACATTTGATTATCCTTATGACCCATTAATGCCTAAACAGCTAGAAGATGGATGGATGGATGGACATTTTATTGTCATTAATATGTGGATGCAATATTAATGTGTGTTAGCGCAAGGAGAAAGTTAAGTTGAATCAACATTGACATCTGCCAGTGTTGTAGTCTTAACTCTGTCCATTTTTTTGTGTACCAGCTTGTGAAAAGTGTTACTCTGAATAAAAAAGTGAATGTCATAGAGCTGCCAAAGCAAGGAGAGATTGTCCAAGATCCGACCAGGTGTCTGATTCTTGGATGGGGGAAGACTAAACCTAATGGGGCTGCAGAGGACAACCTTCGAGAAGTCACTGTCCCCATCCAGAGCAATGGAGAATGCAAAAAAACCTGGCGTGAACACTTCAATGAGAAAACAATGCTGTGCACTAAGTTTGACGGTAAAAGGGGTTTTTGTCAGGTAAATATGGTGCTCATCAACTTTTCCTGATGTTTTGGCTTGTGGTTGTGCGTGTTGATAATCATTTTTTAAAAGAGTGCTATTTATATTATTGGTTAATATGTCTCTGGACTATACACAGAGCCAACAGGAAGTAACATGAATACACTGTTGCTTTGCAGGGAGACTCAGGGGGGCCTCTTGTTTGTAACAAAAAGGCATATGGGATAGCGTCATTCACTGCAGACCCCTGTACTACGCCCCATCCCAATGTTTACGTCAAGATTTCCAATTTCATTCCCTGGATAACTAAAACGATGAAGAAAAACTAGAATGTGGGTAGTGACGAGCAAAGGTGGCAGGAAGTCTTTATAGTTTAAGCTTTAATTTCCTTTTAGGATGCTAGTGTAGCGCTTTACACATTTTTAATGTTGCACTCATTTATTCATAGTTCTTTTACATTTTGCTTTTTGTTGTAACATTTGATCTGTGCTTTAGCTGATATTTTATAATATACAAAGATCCATAGTGTGAGCTTGAAATGCATCCAGCCACAATTACATTATTATTAATTAAATATTTCATCTAATCATCCCCTTTAAATACTTGGAAAATGATACTTCTCCCAAGCATTAAGCTGTTAAAATCCATACCGACAGACATCCCTATGTTTACAGATATGAACCAATGGATATAAACAAATTATGTATAATTTATGCAGTTATTGGATGTCTGCACATTGCCACCACATGCTTGTCTGAACCAGTGTGGATCTATGGGTGGGTGGGGCCTGTGTGAGTTTCTTGCTGCTCGTGCAAGATTTAATCCAGACCCATCCATCAATCACTTTCTGTAACCTCCAATGGTCTGGATGTTGCTTCTAAAGGCTCTACTGAATGTGTCTGAGTTGTCATCATCATCATCATCATCATCATCATCATCATCATCATCATCATCGTCATCGTCATCATCCTTTTCTTGGCTGCAATATTTGTAACCTAGACCCAATGGCATAGATTCTAGGCCAGGTTCTTCAGCTCCAGTCTTGGGGGGCCGAAGCCCTACACATTGTTGTGTTCCTCCTGATTTAACACACCTGATTCAACTCCTTGTGCTAAATACCACACAGCTCTTGAGTGGAATCATTTGTGGAGGAACAGGGAGAGAACTAAGCTACACAGGGCTCCGACCCCCCATGTCTGGAGTGAAACCCCTGTTTCCAGGTCTTTTATATTTTCAGAGTAACATTTCTGACTGGTAATTTTTTTATTTTGTTTTTGAAATTTCATTATACACATGCTTTTTGTTTTGCTGTTGTCTATTGACGCTGGCATGAACACATTAAACAATGCATCGCCAAAAAAATAAAATAAAAATCATTCTTCTGACTGCCATTGTTTGTTTTATTACCTAGCAAAACCAGCTCACCTGGTCAAAGACGAAGGTTCTGATCCTGCAAAACTTGTCAGTGAGGGGTAAAACAAGACTCAAACTTAACTACGGTAGACAGTGCAGGTAAACACCGCAGTTGATTTACAGCAGGCGTGGCGAATCTTATCTGCAAAGGGCCGGTGTGTATGCGGGTTTTTGCAGCAACTCCCTAATTATATTACTAATTAGAGGACTGTTTAGCTGAAGAGTCCTCACACCTGGGTTTGAACAACTGACCTACAGGTTATCCCAAAAACCTGCATGCACACTGGCCATTGCAGATAAGATTGGCGACTCCTGATTTACTGGCTCTGAGTTTATAAAATTTTAATACACTAGGTGGCAGTATAGCACTATAGAACTACTGCAAATGGATTTTTTACTAGCACTGCAAATGGATTCATGGAAAAAAACGAACATCACTGCATAAGACTAACTGTACTTGCAGATTATATGCTCGCATTGAAACTGTTGATCCAATCCCTGAATATACTCACTGGAAGCTATAACTAGATTAAGATATGGAAGCGTAAAAATAAATGTGAATTAAAATAGCACAGAAAGGTAAATAATAATAGCAACTGTAGCAATGCAATCAGTAATTAAGACTCAAAACTTAACTACGGTAGACGGTGCAGATAAACAACGCAGTTGATTTACAGGCTCTGAGTTTATAAAAATTTAATACACTAGGTGGCAGTATAGCACTATAGAACTACTGCAAATGGATTAATGGAAAAAAACCGATCATCTCAGGGCACGTCATGTGTTGAGATTGTACATTTATACTCTTACAGTTTTTCTTGATTGCTTTGGCACATTTCTCTAATGACAATGAACATTTGCAAAACAACAAGTGCAATCCCCACGCCATATAATGTCACTTCTGCACAGCAGAACGTCAATTTTCGTTGCTTCACATACATTTCCAGATGTTTTAGTACATATATGCAAATAGTTTTGTACAATTCTCATAATTTTGCATAAATTTCAGTTGCTTTAGTCTTGTTGTTCAAAATAGATTGTTTGTAGTTCCCCATTGTGAAAATTTTACACCCCAAAACTATATATGTATGTGACCATTGTGTTCGCCAGCACATGCAAAACCATTAACCAGGTTTTTAAAATGATTGAAAACTATATTCCATTAATTGCAGTGATATGGCATTGCTGTGTTTTTGGTTCCCACAGTCAGGGGCACCAGGGGGAGGAAAATTAGGACTCCAGGGGGCCACAAAAAATTTGGATCATAATTGGATTGAGAAATGCTCTTGTAGTCTTGAGAATGTTAAGCATGTTTCATGAAATGTGCCAAAGCAATGAAGAGAAACTGTAATGTGTTTTATTGGTACTTTAGAAAATGTAATAAAATGAAAAATAAATGATAGATAAAATAACTATGTAATAGCTAAGGCAGGCAGCACATTGGCCCAGTGGGTAGTGCTACAGATTCACATCACCAGGTGGTTGTGGGTTTTACTTCTGTGCCCAGTTCTCAGTGTGTGGTATCATTGTTATTACTGTGTTTGTACGGACGCTGAATGAATCGGTGTTCCTAAAGGATCGTTAGCGGATAATCGTATGAGTTCATGTCTCGCAGTGAACAATGGTAGGGGACCCAGGGTAACTGCTTATGGAAGACGGATAGGTGAAGTACCGATGGATAAGTTAAACAACATGATTATAACTATACAAGCCACAAAAAACTTCTTTCTTTATGAAAAGTCCACCTTGCATAGCCATATAGCAACAGTCACCCTTGATGTCGGAGCATTAAAACCACGCGCGTCTAGTGGGCAACAGAGCAGCATCTCTATACATAAAAGATCTTTCTTCAAGGTCATCCAAGGTAACAGCACATTCTCAGCACTCCTCTGCCCGACCATTATCACCAGGCCCTGTTTGACAGCTGGAGCGTCTCCTCAGCTTTGGGACCTGAAGAAACCCACTTGCTCGTCTGCAGAAGACTTGAAACTCAACCTTTTTGGACTGTGCATCGGCTCTGAACTTCTCAGCACATCCTAATCACATTCAAGAAGCCTCTTCTTTGCTTCTGAGGAAATTCACTCTTCAGGTGCGTTTTTACCTTTGATACGCTTATTTTCAGAACCTAAAGGCCTGAAGATTTTGCCCTCATGTGTACCTTTAGATACTGATTTTGGCTGTATCACAAGGTTATTATTTGTGAATCTATCTATATAGCAAGTCCCTGCATCTTAAACAGGCATGCTGTGTTTTTATATTGCATTATACTGTGAGTTTTAAGGCTGATTTTTACTATGACGCACAGGTTATAGCACTGCATAAGACTAACTGTACTTGCAGATTATATGCTTGCATTGAAACTCTTGATCCAATCCCTGAATATACTCACTGGAAGCTATAACTAGATTAAGATATGGAAGCGTAAAAATAAATGTGAATTAAAATAGCACAAAAAGGTGAATCATAATAGCAACTGTACAATCAGTAATTAAGTGGTAGGATAAGCAGCTGGAAGATAAACAGATGGATTGTGATGTTGATGTTAATGATGATGATGATGATGATGATGATGATGAGGATAACGGTGATTCTTATTGATGTTTCAGTCATGTTAACATGGAGATAAATCAGAACAACAGAGTGACAGAGAATGTGGAGAGTCTGTGCTGTAGATCCATCATAATGGTTCCCAGAACTGTATGTACAGATCACAGCAATGTCCAGTGAGAGTCTGCAGAAAATTTAAGCAGCATAAACTGCTGCCAGTTTCTACTTCCCCACACACTCACAGGCCTCAACACTCACTCTGTTATCTTCTGTAGCAGATCAGCGATGCTTAACAGGAGACATGGAATGGGAGGGACTCAAAAGACAATGTGCAGTCAAAACAAGCGTATCAACAAGGATCTGAAAGGCTTCTTTTCTTATTTGACTAACATTATATTGCAGTAGATTGCATCCCATTGAATGAGTGCCTTTCTTTTTAAAAAGGTCTCACCAGCTATACAGTGACTAAAAGAACTTAGCAGGGCTACAGAAAAGGTGAAAGGTCCATACACTTTTTTGCTGTGTTGAACCATGACCGAACCAAGTATTATATATTTGTGATCCATTGTTGATGTTGAAAGGCACAATAATACAGGATCTGAACAAGCACTGTCAGTGTGTAGCTCAGCAGGTTCACATGCTGTGTTGATGCAGTGATCAGAAGATAGCTGGTCCAGATTCCAAGGTCAAGTAAGACCTCCAATCGTTCCGGGTACTGTCTGACACTGCTTCCTTTAAAAAAAATGTACATCAAGGATCTGCTAAATAAATTATATGTAAACCCACTTGAATGTCACCATGTGACTTTGCAGAGTTTCTATTCTGCAAAGAATGTTGGTCCCTGTGTTTACCCAAATCTTTAGGGTTTCTCCTGCCACCTTTACTCGCACTGTCACATCTCCCCCAAACGTTCTGCTGCAGAGTGACACCATCTACTTTACAGCCAGGCAATGATCCTCTCACACGTTCCACGCAGAATAACCATAGTCGACACAAACAGCAAATTGTCATCCAGGCAATTCCTCTTGCAGCGGACTTGACTGATTTAATTTAGAATAGACCATTCCTGAAAATGCACAGGCCTCTCGTGAATAAATGTCCATTAAGGGCTAGACAGACAGCATTGCACCCTAATTCTCTTGTCCGACATCGTCCCCAAGTGACGGGTTTTCCCCGGGTTTGGGTATACGAAGGCGATGGGTGTGTGGACCCTTTCTCCGGCGAGAGTCCCTGCTGCGGTAAACCCATCAGACTGGTTGCCAGGAGGCGGCCGTCTGCTGAGTGCTGAGTCATGTATAATTCATCTCACCTTCACCTTCTTTCTCTGCTTTTCTCGTTATTATTTACTGAACTCCGAGAACGTGAAGGGCGTAAGTCATCTACTTGACTTCTTGTCATAGTAAAAAATTCAAAGGTCAGACGGCATTTTTACCGGTTTCTGTCCCTTAATTTTAAAATTACCCAGCAGCCTGTTGGTGTTCTTACTGTACGTGTGGCCAGGATCACTGCTATTCCATTTACTGTTTTTCAGTCACAGAGTTATACAACAGAGCAACATAGTAAAATTCCAAGTTTGGAGACCCCAGGAAATCTACCAAAGGGGATCTATCGGTAGAGTTGCCGTACCTCACACAACAGGCCTGTCATTCAAAGAAGCTCAGAGATATCACACCAGAATGAGTGGACTGAGGGTCTTCGTCCATCTCCCGTCCCACTTACAGTATCCAGTACGGGGTCATACTGACCCCGGAGCCCATCTCAGGAAGCACAGCGCACCAGGCAGAGGACGCCCTGGATGGATTGCCAGTCCATTGCAGGGTACACTATCCTGCTAGTTCATCTAAATGCATGCTTTTGCTCTGTGGGAGGAAGCCCACACGAACACCAGGGAGGGCATGCAAACTCCACACACGCACAGAGCCGGCGGCAGGGAAAAAAAAAACCCAGCCCCTTAGCCGAGAGGCCACAGTGGTATGCACTGAGTCACCATTCTCCCTGCTGTGTGCCATGTCTACTAATTAAACTAATTAGGGGTTCATTGTCTAAAAGTGTTCACTGCATACAATGTTTCAGCTTACATTTGTATCGTCTTCCTCATTTTCACTGTTCCCCTTTTCACCATTATAGCAGTGCTAGCAGACAGGTCTATGTCCAAAATATCCTTATTATTATGCCTGAGTTATTGGTATTATGACTGAGCTCTTTCCTCAGCGACAGCTCGCATCAGTAATAATAAAATGGAAGGTGAGTCGTGGAATCATTTTCCCAAGCAACATAAATTTCCGACCATTGCAGAACGGCATAATTAATTTTCCCTCTCCGGTGAGCCTATCTCAGCAGGGTGTTTCTGCCTATAGCGTGAAGGATCTCCTCTTAAGCCCCCTGCCTTTTCCTCCTCATGCCGCCATTCCTGCATGGAGCCCTCTGATAGTGTAAAAGAGTGCAATTCCTGTTAAGCCATCTGCTGTGACCAGGTTGTATTAATGATAATGAAATTACCCAAGACCAAAGGAACCGAAGTATGGGGCTAATTCACGTACCCGAGCTTGACCGAGGACTGGGGCGCTGGCAGCGACTATAAGCAAAAACTATGATGAAATTTCCTTTGGATTTTCACTCAAAGTTGAAGGGGGAGGGGTCCCTCTTGTAAATGTGTCAGCACCCAGAATGCCTTGCTGAAATGTGACCTGTCACATGTGGTGAAAGGTGTGTGCTGGTTTGTGTGTGTGTTTGTGTGTGTGTGTGGCGGTTAGATATACATTACATTGTGGAGACATTTGGTGGGGACCATTTTATTTTGATGTCGTGGGGACCTGTTTTTTGTTTTGTTCCCACAAGGGGAAATTCAATTTTATAAAAATCTACGACGGCAATCAAAAAACTAAAAAGACTTGTATTTTTTTTTTGATTACTTATGGTTAAGGTTAGGGCTGGGTAGGGGTTAAGGTTATCATAGTTGGGATTAGGGTTTTACCCATAGAAATGAATGGACAGTCCCCACAAAGATATGAGTACAAGTCTGTGTGTGTGCGAATGGTACGAGGGGTGATAAGGGCCAGTCGTCTTTTCATGCACGGAGGCTTCCATCTTTTCCATCTTATTTGCTGTGATTTGTTGTTTTCCAGATCGGCATGGGCTGAAATCTGCAAAATCTCCATTCATTCTCCGTGTGTAAAAAAGAATGAGCCCCTGATGGTATAATGGTCAGTGCAACAAGTGAAAAAATCTGAAATGTTGAAACTCCAAATCTGAGGTCATACATTTTTTTTTGTCTCCAGTAAGATTTATGTTATCAAGTCCCACTACAAGTGATACTGATTGAATTCTGCCACATGTTCGTTTTAAAAGGAGAATTTCAGACTCATTTATTAAAAACAATGATAATAATGATGATATGGATGCTAACAAATCTACAGGCTATTTTTATAGTTGTGGGTTCCAGCTTGCTTAGACGGAGTTTCCATATTTTCCCCTGCTTGTCTGGGTTTTCTTCAGGCCCCTGTCCTCGTGGCTTTGCTGATCTTTGATTTATACATGATACCCACAGTGTGATGGCAGATATGCCCTGTGATAGATACACTTCGCAAAGCAATGGAACACCATAAGCATATCTATAGCAGGAATGTATTTAAGAAATATAATAACTGTAAAATTTAAGCTAGCTTGAAGGGTGTCTGGGATCCACTGCGTCTTGAGGCAAGTCATCATCTACACTGATAGATGTAGGCCGACAGCAATGTGACTATTGGCACTACTGACTATTGGCACTACTGACTGTTGGCACTATTGACTATTGGTTCTGCTGTTCTGAAAGCTGATATTGCTTACTTGTTTAGTTCTTGGGATATAATGGGGGATAAGGAAACCTGGGAAAAACTATATCGAGCATCAATTACTGATGCGCATCCAAAGGGGGGTGTAGGGGGAGCGTCTTTCGACAAATCAGTCCGAATGAGGCCCTTTGATTCGCTGCCACACCCTCGGGAATTTCTGAAGGTTTTTCTCACTGATCTTACTACAAGTAATTATGAGCTGTGGTTGGGTTGTACGTAGCTATTAATCCTTTGTTCCATTCCTGGCTTTTTCCTTCAGAAGAATGGTGGTACAATTAAAGTGTTATTCTTCAATCGCCCATTGACAATGAGGTATTAATTCATAAAAGCGATGTTTCCTCTTTATGGCGTCTGGCTGAAATTTAATCATCATTCTCTTTACCGTCTCCTATGTTTTTTCCTTTGTATGTTAGTACGCTAACTAAAGCTTCTCTAAAGAGTGCCGATAATGGGTGGATGTTGAGAGTGTTTGTGGGATTATATTTTAACTCTCCGTGGCTTAGTCAGCGGTGCCTGCTTTTCTGTTCATGTAGAAGCAGCAGGTGTCTGCACAGCCGCTTGCATGCAGGTTCCTACTTTATACCAAGCGCCCGTGTCTAATCACTGTATTAAATCTGCAATGTTTAGAGGTTCTCAGCAGGTGTATCTCTCACACACAAGGCGATGTCTTCTCAGGCTGGACTTACACAGGCCCCCAAAGAGCTCCAAGTGTCCAAGCTATTCCTGTCATCTCGAAAGTCTCACAGGGAAGCGTAAAGCCAGCTGAACCCCCATCGTGGCTCCCAGCTCTCCCAGTCCCCCGGATGCCCGATTTGGCAGCCGTAGGTGCTCTGTGGAGAGCCTGGCACATTTTTGCCAATACCAAACAAACCACGTCCTGGGCTGGATCAGCAGGCCTTGCTCAATTTTTTTTGTTACTGCATTGCAGTGCTCTTAGCTGAATGTTAAATTGGGACGATACCAGCTGATGGTTTCCACCGCAGAGGTAATAAGTGTTGTGAACATGTCAAGACTAGACAAAAGGCTCATTGTAAAATCTTTTTTGGCAGGTCATATGGGCTGTCAAAATTCTTACAGGGGTGACAAGAAATTAATGTTCTTATCTAGCAGTTTTCCATGGCAACTATTTCCCCTTCAGTCTTTTGTCTTTGTTTGATAGAATAAGTGGTGTCTGCTTTGAAAATATTACAGATATCATACAGTGCCTCCCACCAGCCAGCATCGTATTTGTTCTTTTACTTTATGATTTTCTTACTTTCCCTTTAAGGAGGTGAAGTTGATGAATTATCCGTTTAATATCAGGGGAGGAAGCAGCGTCGTCTGGGTCCTGGGAAAGAACTGAGTTGTCCTCGTCTCCTTCTGTGCTTTTTTTTTTTTTTTTTAATTAATGGGCTTCATAAGGTACTTTAATGTGCTTGGTCAGAACAGGCTGACAGTCTGGAATCGCTGCGGCCATACAGTATGCCACAAGTTGCCATCTCTTTCTGGTTCGGCTTAGATATTATACAAACGTATTTCTATCGCCATAGATGTCTGCATCGGTCGCTTGCACCCTCTGGGGAGAGGCGGTGTTCCCGGGGACTCTGAGGATGCCCAGCACATACCCCGATCGCTGCGATTAGGAAGCAGCAGGACCCGCTTTCAAACGACAAGGCGCAGCCCCGTCTGCCAGGCGGGCGCCGCGCGTGACGACTGACGTCATGCTGTCTCGCGACTCGGCGGAAAAAGAAGCACGCGCTGACAGTCACCGCCGAAGGGAGGGCGGGGGGATGCGACTCGCGAGGTAATTTAATATCACCGCTCGCGAATATCCAGGATTCCAAATTGGGGTTCAGCCACATTCCTGTCCTGCTTCTATCAGTATTCACTCAACATTTACCCTATCGACCGACATATCCGTACGTATTCCCACACTGCTTTCAAGTGTGTACGAAATCATTATTTATTTCGGTTTTCTTTCAAACTCGTACACGGCCAAATACACTTTGCTTTGTGGCACTTTCCAGACACTGTGGTGTGCATTTTTCTGAGACTGGTAAATGATCCATGCATATTTAAACCTGATATTTTATTCAAAGCCTGAGTGGAACCTAAAGCCTTCTAAACATAACTTACAGTTATGTCAGCAGAAACTAAAGTGAAATTATTGACATGTTCTGATTGTATTACGATTCTGATCCATGAAGTCAATATTTGCAGCCAGAATGCTCCTTGCACCAACTGTGAAGAATCATTAACTGTTCCTTATCAGCATAAGTTAACCAGTTTAAATGAATTTTGCTGGTTTATATTGATTTTTGTGTGTGAATGTGTGTCTAAATTATTCCAATATTGCATCATTCAATTTAGGTAACATAGACTGTTGTCAAGTCTGCCTTTTTAAGTGTTTGCCAATAGTGCTCAAGTCTGGACATTAACATTTACTTATCCTTGAACTACAAGAGTGTACCTTTGTCCATTTAGGTAATTAGCTTTGGATCACTGTCCCACTGTACAGCAAGCTTTTGCCCTTGCATAAAGTTCCACGCCTCCCTCTGCTCCTAAGGGATTGGGTAAAGTTTGCTAGATCAAATGTATATGGGCCTCTGTGAGCTTGTCATTGTCTAAGTAAAATATTCTGCAGTATAACTGCATAAACTTCAATGACTATTTTTATCCTGAAGTCCTAACCTCATACGGTAATAATAAAGGCTAAAAGTGTTTTTTTTTTTCTGGAATCATTGCACTTGTGTCTTTTATAGTTGATTTACTGTTGCCAGGTAGATAGCCTGATTCTAACTGTAATATTGCATAAACTTATAGTATGTGAAACAATTGTCTATTTTAACCAGCTTTGCCTATAGGCTGGTAAGAGTCAGGCTGCTGTATTGTAAGTATCGGCGTTTGCATAATTGACCTGGTGCTCTATTTTACTAATTAGCCCAATTTAAGAAGATGACTCCTGCATGTGATGAGACCTTTTGGACCTAACATGGCGGCACGTCACAGCCTGGCAGGGTGCGACCTGTGGGACACGGAGGGGCAGCCTGGCGGTTCACGTCTTTCACTTTCTCTTTCAAGGTCACCGGCACGGGACGCCAGCAGAGGAGCTTCCGGCCCGGCTCAGGGTGAGACTGAAATCCCGAGCCCATATTGGCTGCCTGCTTAAGGAGGGGAGGATGCCTTTGTGAGCATCATCGAACATCCTTGTGTGATCCAGCTTATCTAGAGAGAGTCCATCACACCCTACTGACATAATGATAAGGCTGATTGGATCCTGGGGAGACTTTTTCACCAGAGGGCCGCTGTGACCTTGTTTCCAACATGCTGCCTAATATATTGATTCTTCTCTCACTCGACATCCTTGATATTAATAAAATATAAGTTTGTATACATGTGTCTACCTGATTTGTCTAATTTAATCTTTAATCCATCCATCTTCCAAACGCGTATCCAGTACAGGGCTTTGTACTTTATGTCTGTTGTGGGAATATTTTACTGATCAAATTTAGCATCCAAAGTAACAGCTGATACTTTTCGGTTTCCATTTTCGTTATTACCACGCACATCGCTGTGGAATCGAAATGTGTCACTTTATCTGCCCCCCCCACCCCCCCCTTTTCACTCTCCTCCTTTTGTCGCACACTTCACTGACAATCCACTGGGGCTTTGAGCATTTCAAGGAGTGACCCACCCGGTAACTGGCGGCATTTGCTAAGCTGTTCCTCCCTGCTGGGTTTCTGTCAGATGCCGTTGATACTGAGGCAGGGACCGCACTGTGTTATCAGGGCCTTACAACAACATGGATAATCGCCAGAGCCTCTAGGATTAAACACTGTTCCCAGAGGCCCAATGGCAGACTGTTTCTCCTGAGATGTGACCCAATCATATCCTTATTTCTTTTTGTTGGCTTGTGGTCAGTTGAGGAGCGATTGATCGAGCTCCTTCCAGCTGACAGCGGGATAAAAAAGCACAGCGAGCTCTTGTATGTCTTCTTCTCGGAATCTTAGTTTATAATCTATACCTCTTCCCCATGTCTTCTGTTAATTTTGTTCCTGGGCTCATTAACATCTGCCAGCTGGGCATCCGGGTTCAAAATCTGACACGTAAAGCTCATTCTGTTCCCATTATTGATCCGATTGCCCTTTCAACTCCCCAAATGGCAGGGGGGAGGGGGGAGGGGCCAACGGGATTACGGAGCATTTGTTAAGATCTGCGCGCTCTTCTGGTAGCTTTCCAGTGGGGGCAGCGTGGTTGCCTGATTGTGTCTTGTTTTGTGCGAGTTACAGGTGGAGGGGCTATTTCTGGTGCTGTGCACCTGTTATCATCAATTATGACTTACACACACAACATCTGTCCTCGTTTAAAAGCCATTAACCTTCTTCTGGCGCATGCTCGCTCCCATGATTACTGCAGCAAATCTGTCGTCCATTATCTGACGGGGGGAGTCATCCTAGTACATCTCGCGTGAACTCCGCGCCTTTTTTATCTTCAAATGAGCAGTTTGTAACCATTTTGCAATAATCTGGATTTTTCTTAAAATTGTGATCTGGTGTTCATCTACATTCACAATATCAAATAAAGAGTCTCATTACTGAAGTGGCACACACAAAGGGTTCACAAACTTTTCCCCAGAATTGTACCTTAGGTGTGTATTTTGTTGTAGTCACCCGTAGATTATGTGAGGGTTGGTATGGAGACATCTTTGTGTTTTGATAGCTCCTATTGATGTAATTTTCCACTGCTTCATGTTGTTTGAGTACCTGAATGTATTCTTGTCAGAATATATCAGTTTGGAGACTTTTATTAATGATGTGATCATTTATATAGAACTACATCCACCAGTCTTATATAACCTCTTATGCAATACAGCAGGGTTCTTCAACTCTGGACCTCGATTCCAAATCCAGGCCTTGTTTTCAGTTCTCCCAGGTAGTTGTTTAATAATTACTGATTCTGATTGGTCAGAGGCTTCACACCTGACTGACAGGTAAAGGAAGGCTGGAAAACCAGCAGTACTCAGACCTCGAGGACCGTGAGTTGAATAACCCTGCAATACAGGATCACCTTCAGAAAGCATCACAAGGCTACAGGAGGAACCCAGAGTACACAGGAAACCAGTTTTACAATGTATGCGTGGAATATACATGTGGGGACCACTGGAGTTGTGATGACCATGCTTACTGAATATGGATGGATGGATGGAAAAGTGTGCAAGAAGATCAAAGCCATGAAACATCACGAAGAGCCAAACCTATGAGTACCACTTAGAATAGCGCAGCTACGATGGTCCTCTTCTTTCATCCGAACATGCCCATGGCACGACAGGGTGTTTCAAAATTTCAGGGTAGCATTTCACTAAATCATGCTGCAATGACGAAACAAGCTACCCTCTATTTGCAGGTCACCTGTGAACCCAATACATACTGGCGCTTTGAAGGAGCTCCGATGTGTTATCAGAATTAGCTTGTTGCTACAGTTCTGAAGCCAAACAGATCTTTGCTTTTTTTTTTTACCCTGGGAACATTCATGTGTTGCATTTCTGGGCACGTTCATATTCATGGGAAATGAAAGTATAATTCGGGGGAGAGAGGGGAGGGTGCCGCGGCGTGGGGCTGCCAGACCTGGTTTGGACGGAAGCTTGTTAGCTGGCAGAGGCACCGCGGGCTCCACTTGGCCCTCTCAACAGCGACCTTCATGCCGTCTGCCGGAGAGTCTCGGCATCGAGGGCTTTGTATGTCATCACACTTGTGTGGGTACCTGCCATGGTTCATGAAAAAAGCAGCAGGTATAGCCAGCTCAGCCCAGAATGACAAAAGTTGTCTCACCGAAACAACGTTTGGTACTTCTCTCCTAAACTTTTCTCCCTCGGGCTCTATGTCTCGACGTAATATCTGTCACCTCCAGCACCTTGCCCTGTACTCAGCTGATCGTGTGGCCCATCTACTTTACGAACTCTCCCTTCCTGTCTCTCTCTCCTTCCCTCTCTCATTCCTCCCTCCGTTCGCCTCTGCCAATGGCTGCATCGGCCTCCTGCCTACTCCCTTTTGGCCCGAGAGCTTCTGCGAGCTGCAACACGGTGACGTCACCCCCCGCGCTGCCGCACAGCCTCCAGGCTCTGTGTAGCTTTCAGGGTCTTGCTTTTCCTCGATACAAATCACTGGTCTGAAAATGGAGGAAAAAAAAGGAAATCGCGGTTTAGGCCTTGTTAAGTCATGGTACCGGCTGATGTCTGCAGACTAAAGTTTCTCTCTGCGCAGCTGCTGAGCTCTGCAATTTTTTTTCCAGGTGTCACATGGCTCGACAATTAGATTAGACTGCAATATTTTCAGGTTGATCTATAATTTAACCCAGTGTTTCCCAATCTGGTCCTTGGGGACAGACAGTCCACGTTTTTCTGGGTGCCAAAAGACCAGATAGGGAAATACTGGGTTAATCTGTTCCCACTCTGACTTTCACGCCTACTTTAGCTGCTTGTCCTACTCCTACCCTCCACTCCCACCACCGGCCCTGCCTCGGCTCTCACCCCCCCCCGGAGAGCCTCCTACATCCCCTGCACTGCTCCTTCGTCACGCCTCGGCTGCGGAGAGGCCGGGGCGCGGCTGCTTCAGCAGCTCCCCGTCTTCGAGTGCTGAGGAACAGACTGGAAAACGGGCTCCGACCAACGCCCCGGCCATATGGTCGCACACCGTGTCTCCAAGGAGACATGCTGGTGGCAGAAACAAAGAAGGATTATGGTAGTTACAGTGGTCATTTCCCTTATCAAGAGATCAGGCCCACAATAAGAAGCAGAAACGCTGTGTGCCTGCTGTTCTATTTTTAAAGCCATTTGCATTAAATATTGCGTGGAATGGAGAAATGCATGCATTATGGCCAAAAACCAACAGATACTGGCATTTTCTGAGCTTTAAAGATTCATGTATCTCTTCCCTATTTGCACTTAACGTGAATCGAAAACAACTGAATTAGAAATAACATTATTACAACCACAACTGCATACCGAACTGTCAGGCAGCAAACAAGTAGATGATTCGATTTTAATAATGTTGCATTAGATGTGACCTTTTTATTTATATTGCTACCAGCTGGAAATACATTTATATGTGTCCCCTTCCCTGGATTCCAGGAAACGCTTCCTTGCCGTTTGACACTGAAGCTTTATTTTTCAGCCGTTTCTCAGAATGGATGCTTGGAGGTGTCTCAGCTTGTCCAGACCCCTGTGTGCGAGACTGACTCACCACTGGTGGACGCTCATTAAGGATACCTGGAATATGCTAGTTTGTCAGTCTGGACAAAACCCCTGTGACACCGGACAGTCACATTCTGGTAGTAAAGTCCCATCTAAATTCATCCAACTGGGAACTGGCAATGGTCTTTACTGGCATTGGTCACAATAAGGCTTTTATGACATAACTAAGTTCTATATAATTCTATTTATGAGTTCTTATAACCATTTGATGCTTTTGGGAGATTCCATCCTGTTCAGTTTTGTTTCCATTTTTGTTTATTATGCTATTTAAACTACTGTTGCCCCAAACTGTGGTATGTCAGTAAGCAGCACTGTGGTTTGAGTTTTGGGGTCAAACATTTTAAGAATGGCACTATATGTGAACTGAATTGCATTGAATAGTAGTATATATTGCATTCAAATTTGCTTAACAGCTTTACCTTTGAAAATATTTATATCCTAACCACTAATCAAATAACATGGGTAAGTCCCCCATCCAAGGATATAGTACCTGAAACTTACTATCCCCAGAACATTGAAAATCCTTCATCCAGCCAAATTTCCAGTCCTTAACAGTTAAACTGCTGCCTGGTAATGATTTCTCAGATGCATTTAGATGAGTCAGGTCTTAAAATCAGTTGCATTCATTTAAAATGAAGGGAACCATTATGAATGTAAGAGCTCAATGACAACATTTCCACACTTATCCCATAACCCCAGGAAACTGACCAAAAGCTGTCATTTCATGCTTTTAGGAAAATATGCTTTTTGTTAGCTCCATTTTACTGCCATGTTTCGAATGTAATTTTTGAGTTTTAAACACAAACAATCTTGATAAAAGGTTCGGAGGGTCAGTAATGGCCCTGAAGACAAGCATGGTGTGGCAATCCTAATTGTTCCATAATTACAGGGATGACTTGCTATTTCGCTTTTCCCTTCCACTGCCCCCTGAACCCATTTAGTAATGCTGACATCAGTCAAACATTTGGTAAATGTGTTTCCAGGTCGAAGGTCAACATTATCTAAAGCTTCTTCTCTTTTGTGAATGGATTAATATTTTTATTTAATTCCTGGTTCCACTTTACAATAAGACTACCCCTGCAAAGGGTTTTTGAATGGTTTATAATCAGGTTATTAATTGGGATATAACACTTTGGAAATCATT